TTCAAAGCTGCACGCAACACTGTTATCAGACGTAAACTGCTATGAGCATTGAGCAAATATTGCAAAAAATGATTTTACTTGCGAGGTAAGGTCTCGGATTTTACTGTTGGTGATTGCATGAGTTGCAAAAACTGCTATTATGATGGGAACCTCATGGCTATAGCATTCTTTAGTGTATTTATAGTTATCTTTGTTTATAATCTATTAAGATATGTTGGTCTGGAATCCCGGCAAACTTCAAAGCTACAAAATAGAAGGCCTTTGTTTGATGTTGAACTGTATAGACTGTGGAGTGTGGGCCGTTGGCCAAAATTATTTCGCTTCGTGGCAACCCCCTGGGGAATAGATTTTCTGTGGTTCAATGCATAGTACCATAGATGCTCGATTACCACAAAAAGTTCCCAAGCAAAAAATCTTGCCAAACACCGAGAAAATGGGTGATCAACGATTTTCCTCTATTAAATTGTATTCCAGCAAGAAAATGTGAAATTTTGTATTCCGAATTACAACAAAAATGACTTGCATCATCAGAAAGCTTCCAAAAAGCGAATATAAGACTTTTAAACAGTTTTTTGATCCTTCAAATAATCTTTGACTTATTGCTGTTTTAAATTGTATTACAGCAAGAAAATGTGAAAATTATATTCAATTACAGCAATAATGACTTGCATCATCAGAAAGCTTACAAAAATCTACATATAAGATATTTAAACAGTTTTTTCATATCTCAAATTGTTTTCGAGCTATACGCTGTCAAAAACGCGTTTTTGACCTGGTACCCAGTCCTTATTGCGACATTTTCGTCCAATTTCCACATTTAATATATAGAGAATAATCGGCACTGATCACTCATTTTCTCGGTGTTTGGCAAGTTTTTTTGCTTGGGAACTCTTTGTGGTAATTGAGCATCTATGGTAGTATGAATTGAACCACAGAAAATCTATTTCCCAGGGGGTTGCCACGAAATTGCTTTTTTAAGCACTTTTTTGCACCACGGCCCACGGCCTAGTACCTCACCGTGCACAAATCCCTTGTCTCAACTTCATTAAATATTAGGCCTATTTCAAACGTCGCGCTTCTCATGTGCGGAACGCATTAAAAACAATAGATAATCAGCTGGAACGCCTCATGATCTATTGTTTCTAATGCGTTCGGACTTGGGTACATGAGAAGCGCGACGTTTGAGACAGGCCTTATTCATCGTGGTTGCACGTTTCATCTCAGCCATCCCTATTGGACGGTTACTTAATTATACAAAAATACAATAAGCTCAATCACCGTGCCGTGCAAAATTAACATAAAAAACATGTGAGTGGTTCAAGTAAAAACGAAACGTTATGCATAGCACATGGAAAATGACTTTTTTACTCTTTCATAACCAACATAACGTCAACTAATACATATGTTAAAAAAGTCAATTTACGTATGCTGTGCATAACGTTTTGTTTTTACTTGAGCCACTCACACATAATATATAACAAACACTTCTGTTTAGTTTCAAGACCATCATATCTTGATATAGACCATGCTTTATTAGAACTTAAAAAACTCATTAATAATTCAGGAGGAAAACACAGAGAAAAATCATAAGCGTGTCGTGGTGTTATATGTGATATAAAATCATGTTAATTTACATAAACTTTAGCTTTGATTTTCTCGGTTTAGACAAAGTTTATTTTAAAAATTACTTCGCCAATGAATTCGTATAAGATGAGTAGTTTTTTAAGCCATTTAAAGCACTTGTAGTCGTGTTTTATCACATATAAAACGCTCGGCTGCGCCTCGCGTTTTATATGTGATAAAACACTCCTACGAGTGCTTTAAATGGTACATATAGCATTTGTATGTTATCGAATTTACAAAAAAGTCTATATCTTCTAGTAAACGGGTTAACGTTCGCCTGCTGGAAACTTGGGAAGCTGCAAGGGGGAACACTCATAAGCATTAGTGTTGACCTCCCGGTGGCGCCTCGACCAACTCTTCTGCTTTTTTTGTGCTCTCCCAACTTCCCGCGTTCTCAATAGCTCGATTGAGCACGCAAAATCATGAAAAATTCTTAATTTTACTTGCAAGGTGCATGCGCAGTAGAGCGATTTTTAGCAACTTGGAAACTACTCATTATCATACATGTGCATGAGAACCAGCACGTTTTTTATTCTACTTTTATAATTATCATAATTACAGCTTTAACATTCGTAACATTGTTATGTAGCCTAAGTGCCCGGGCTACAAAATTTAAGTGTGTTTTATATGTTTCTCAGATATTGAGTCTTGCAACCTCGCGTTGTCAAGTGCACTTGATTCTGCTCTTGAAACAGGACTGGCAAGTTGAATTGTCAGCATTTTGCAAGCTACTCATTATCATACATGCAAAATTCAGTCCGATTTTCATTCTCCTTTATAATTATCATAATTACAACATAACATTCATAACATTCTTATTTCAGTAGCTAAGAAATGTCTTTTATATATGTTTCTGGGATATCGTGTCTTACAACGTTGCGTTCTCAACTAGCATTGAACTTCCTCTTTTGAAAGAGGTTGCAGACTGGTAAATTAAACTTTCAACATTTTGAAAACTTCTCATTACCTGCATGCATGTGAAATCCAGCACGTTTTCCCCTCCTTTATAATTATCATAATTACATTCTTAACATTCTTCTATAATCAGTTGCTGTTAAATTTAAATTTGTTATTATGTTCCTGAGATATCGTGCCTTACAACCTTGCGTTTCCATGCAGTTTTCAGCGCACTTTCTTCTTTTGAAACAGGTTGACTGGTAATTAAACATTGTAAACATTGGCGTACGGGGGGGGGGCGAACAAAATTTTGCCCAACATTTTAATTAACGTAACGCTAACATTATCCTGATTTTATAGACAGATTAATAAAAGGTATACTGTTATTATAGACAGAACACATATCTTTTTTAGACACACGGAAATGCAAAGTCGACCTTAATTAAGACGATAAATAAAAAATATATACAACTATTTACGAGTAATAAGTTCTTTGTATGTTTGCATCGTGATAAAATATAATAGTTTTGTTTGTGGAAACACCACGTAAATTTATTACTGTAAAGCTTTTTATATAGACAGGGGGTTTGCGGGGCTGGGCCTCCTCGTTGATAACAGTGAAGATTACTGCATGATCACTAGGCTTTTTATTGAAATGTTACATGATAATAATATGTCGACATATTATTAGTACTGATGAAGATCCGGGCTTACGGATCGAAAGCTTTGCAGTAATAAATTTACATAGTGTTTTCACAAACAAAACTATTATATTTACGAGTAATTCTGCGATTTCATTATTTTGAAAACTCCTCACTACATGTGATCATGACAAAATACATCAAACCGAAACGAGCAGGCCTAACAATTCCCCGATCTAGATCTTTTCAGGTAGAATCTGCCTTACTAAAGGCTGACTATGCATGATTATTATTATGTAACATTTTAACAAAAAGCCTAGTGATCATGCAGTTATCTTCATTGTTATCAACGAGGAGGCCCAGCCCCGCAAACCCCCTGTCTCGTAGGCCTATGCTTGTAATAGGGAACTAAATGTTCGCTTATAGCAACGATTGGAAGCTCTAGCTTTAGCATTTTTACTTAAGCACACGCGTTTTTGCAGGGTAACTATTAATACATTTCCACCTAAAATTTTCAAAAGATTATTAAGTATGAAAGTCCGCTTTTTTTCCAAACGAGTTTATGCATGGTATCATGTTACATATGATAAATCGATTTATCGTATGTAACTTGTAAGATTATAAAACTTCCCATGACGTCACCACGAGCATTGGCGCCAAAGAAAATTGCCTCCTTGATGATACGCTACTGAATCCTAATTACTTTGCTTTCGGAATGTTATTTAAGAGACGCACGCAAGACTGTTGTAGAATTGAGTACAAAAATTAGAACTTAAAAAGAACTCTTTTCTTTCGCATATTCTTATAGGTTTCATAATAATTTCGCGAGGTAAGGTTAGAGAGCTATAGAAACTAATTACAGTAAGTTGCTAGAACTTGCTTCAACAATTAATATGTGGATATCGATACGAAACGCATTGCTGGCATGCATTCTTTAGTACACTTTGTATAATAAATAAATCCTAATTACGACATTACATTTGACTCAACGGCTTACAACCTTCCTTTCCATTTTCAGTGCACCTCGAAATTCTTTTCAAACTGGCTGATTGGTATGTGCAAAACATTACTCATTATTACATTTTTTATCGTCGTGCAGCTAATAGTATAAATAATAAGAAATAGCACAAATAAATTTGGGCTGCACATAAATGTTGCATTTTGATCCAAATTCTAAAAAGGTCCTCTACCTTTAAAACTTGGGATCTTAACTTCGCATCTTTTTAGAGCGGTAAAAAAGGAACGTCGATAAATACATCATTCTGAAGATGTTTTCCCGCATAAACATTGGCGGTAAGTAGTAAGGGCAGAGCCGGTTTTAGCACATTTTTTATTTTTTGTGCTAACTTAGAATGGCTCTAGAAATGCTTTTGTGCTAACTCTAGACCCTTTGTGAGCCTAAAAACATACATTGTAGAGCACTTCTAATAATGCCTCTAGAATAGCAAATGTGCTAACTGAACGGCTCATTTAATCCATTTTGTGCTATAATGTTAGTTAATTTAAAACTATTATGTTAATTAAAACTACTGTTTAAACCTTAAAAACCTTTTAAAACACCGTTCTATTTAGCACATTTTACATTCTAGAGCACTTTCAAGGCTTGCTCAGAACATGTTGAAAAACCAAAATGTGCTATAAATAACGGTGTTTTATTCCATTTTGTGCTAAACGGATTGCTTAAATTTAACTAAAAGTAGAGTTAAAAATGCTTTTTAAACTAAAATATTGATTTGAATTTACTATCCATATAGCACATTCTAGTACCACGACCACTTCTAAAATGTGTTATAAATTATCAATTAAATAGGTCATTTTATTTTTACCTATATTATATAGAGAAATGTCAAGTGAGCTTATAGCACAAAATTTGCAGATACCTAAAAAGTCAGATATCCATAAAAAGTCAAGTGAGCTTATAGCACAAAATTTGCAGATACCTAAAAAGTTAGATATCCATAAAAAGTCAAGTGAGCTTATAGCACAAAATTTGCAGATACCTAAAAAGTCAGATATCCATAAAAAGTCAAGTGAGCTTATAGCACAAAATTTGCAGATACCTAAAAAGTTAGATATCCATAAAAAGTCAAGTGAGCTTATAGCACAAAATTTGCAGATACCTAAAAAGTCAGATATCCATTAAAAGTCAAGTGAGCTTATAGCACAAAATTTGCAGATACCTAAAAAGTCAGATATTTATAAAAAGTCAAGTGAGCTTATAGCACAAAATTTGCAGATACCTAAAAAGTCAGATATCCATAAAAAGTCAAGTGAGCTTATAGCACAAAATTTGCAGATACCTAAAAAGTTAGATATCCATAAAAAGTCAAGTGAGCTTATAGCACAAAATTTGCAGATACCTAAAAAGTCAGATATCCATTAAAAGTCAAGTGAGCTTATAGCACAAAATTTGCAGATACCTAAAAAGTCAGATATCCATAAAAAGTCAAGTGAGCTTATAGCACAAAATTTGCAGATACCTAAAAAGTTAGATATCCATAAAAAGTCAAGTGAGCTTATAGCACAAAATTTGCAGATACCTAAAAAGTTAGATATCCACTCAAAAATCTCAAGTACGTTAAACCTGTGTTATAATATAGAAGAACAAAAAATGGAAAACAGTGAAGATCAAATCATACGACTCATCAGTTTCACAACAGATGCTTACAAATATGTTAAGGATAGTGACAATCAAAAATTTATATCCAAAAAGTTCTCAGATATCCAAGAAAAGCAAGCACAAAAAAGTAAGACATTCCCCGATAATCAGATATCCAACATCCACCTAATAAGGGAGTTGTCCAGAAAATATAACATTCCAACTAAGAACCTTCCGCAGCCTCAAGATTCATCACACGAAAAGTTAGTGTCTAACTTATTAGGGGAAATCAATGAAAAACCATCAAGTAAAACTCCCCCACCTCTAAAAAGTTCATCCCCAAGAAAAGTAAAGACTGAGATCAAACTAGCCCCTAACTTTACAATCCCACCTTTCAAACTAAAACGTGTACAACCAGCTCGTAGAGAAAGTTATAAGATTCCCTCATCAAAGCTAACTAAGGAGTTCATGTTCCCAGAAGAGGTAAAGTCACCCCCTAAACCAAAACCTGTAAAACCGATTCCTAAACCAAGGACCCAACCAAAGGAACGTCCAATCCCAAAACCGAGGACAAGGTTATTTTCTCAACTAAGTACAACCCTCCCCGAGGAAGTTGAAACACCAAAGCTACTTCCAAACACAAGGTTTGTAAAGGAACCTGAGGAAATTGTTGAACCAATATTTACAGGAAAACGACCTACTTATAAGAAGACATCGCACTCCTTCTCAAACTTAATAAAGAACTATAAAGTGGAAATAGTTAGTAACGATCCCCAAATACAGTTATCATCTTCACTTCCATCTCTCAGAGAAATCCTTGCTAAAAATATAATTATAATGGGAGGGGTTAAGTATCATATTACCTTAAATGTAGAGTTCATCAAGGCTAAGGGCTGGGAAGGGTATGAGTTGGCCAAATATGGTGCAAATCATGTTGCCCTTACCTTACTTCAAGGTGGTAATATAGATGAGTCATTAGAAGAGGCCATAGCCCTGGTTCAACAGAGAATAGATGGTTTTATTGCTAGAGGAAGCGGCTGGTCTGTTGTCCAACTCCCAAGTATGTACATACTCGTCAATACATATGCCCCACTAGAAGGTTCATCATATCTTGATCTTCCAAAGTCACTCCAAAAGCCTCAGTTAGGTCTTAATAACATTTTCAATAAAGATGATAATGAATGTTTTAGGTGGTCACATGTAAGATATGTTTGCCCGCGTGATAAGAATCCCAAACGTATAACAAAAGAGGATAAAGAAGTTGCTAAATCATTAAATTACGACGGTGTTTCCTTTCCGGTGTCTATAGACCAGATTCCCCATATAGAGGCTCAGAACAACCTCAACATCAATGTTATTGGTTATAAGTCAGGTAAAACCTTTTATCCAATTGTTGTATCAAAGTCCACATTCAAAGACACAATGACCTTACTATTAATCTCAAAAGATGAACGTAATCATTATGTTCTCGTAAAGGATTTCAACAAACTTCTCCATTCATATACAAAGGATAATCATAAGAAACATTTCTGTGTAAGTTGCTTCCAAAACTTCAGGTCAGAAGAGTTCCTCCAAAAGCATCGAAAGGACTGCCTAATTATAAATGGTAAACAAGCAGTTAGAATGCCAGTTGAGGGTACAACAGTTGACTTCAAAAACCATAAGAATCAATTGTTTGCACCCTTTGTTATATACTCAGATTTTGAATGCATACTATCACCAACAGAGTACAAGTCAGGTGACCACACCAAAGTCATACAAAAGCATAAAGTTGTAAAGTATGGTTATAAGAGAATATGTAAGGAGAATGAACATTTAACAGGTGAGTATAAGACGTACACCGGGGAAGACGCATGTCAGAAGTTTGTTACCGCAATAAGGGCTGAGCAAAAGGAGTGTAACAAGTTGGCAAGACAATTCTTCAATCAAAAAGGTGAGATGGATGATGATTCAATCGCGCACTTCAGAGAACAAAAGAATTGTTATATTTGCTCTAAAGACTTGTCCACCAACAACAAAGTGGGATACTTTCACAGGATTAATTCTAACTACCTTGGTGCAATCCACAAGGGCTGTCAAACTAAATTCTTTAAGATACCAGTGGTGTTCCACAATCTACGAGGATATGATTCTCACCCAATAATCTTAGAATCATGTGAACAAAAGATTGACCTTACAGTGATAGCAACCAACCTCCAGAAATACCTTTCATTCTCATTTGGTAATCAACTTGTATTCATTGATTCCCTACAGTTTATGAGCACATCACTAGAGAAGTTAGTTGCTAACCTCAAGGGTCAAGCATTAGATGAAGAACTCTCTCTCAAGTTTCCAATTACATCCCAAAGGTTCCAAGGAGAGTCACTCAAGCTTGTCACTCAAAAAGGTGTATTTCCATATGACCACTTTACTTCACTTGAGACAACAAAGGAAACTCAACTCCCAAGTAAGGATGCTTTCTTCTCGACATTGTATGACACTCCCGTTTCAGATAAAGATTATCAGAGAGCGCAAACTGTATGGTCACACTTCAACATGTCAACGTTCAATGATTACCTTGAACTCTACCAAGAAACGGACATCCTCTTACTCGCAGATGTATTTGAGAACTTTAGGTCAACATGTCACGCTACTTATAATCTAGACCCCGCAAATTACGTCAGCAATCCCGCACTAACCTGGGATGCAATGTTAAAGGATAAACAAGAAAGAGGAGGTTCCCCAATCGAACTCTTAAGTGACATTGAAATGCATAACTTCTTTGAGAAAGGAACCCGCGGTGGTGTCGCACAAATATCACATAAGTTTGGCAAGTCCAACAATAAGTTCAAGTCTAACTATGATCCAACACAATTGTCTAAGTTCCTAAAAGATTGGGATGTCAACAACTTATATGGAGGATGTATGTCACAACCGCTCCCTCATGGTAACTTTAAGTGGGAGGATCCAGATAATATTAATTATAAACATTTCCTCGAAGATTCCCCCAGAGGTGCCGTCTTAGAGGTTGATCTAGATTATCCAAAGGAACTCCATGATCTTCACGCAGACCTCCCACTAGCACCTCATAAGATGTTGGTTACCGAGGATATGATATCTCCATACAACAAAAAAATAAGAACTCAAAACAACCTTTCACCATCAGAAGCACCCAAGCTAATTACCTCTCTCAACAATAGGAGAAACTACATTCTTCACGCTAGGACACTTGACTACTATGTTTCCAAGGGAATGGTCCTCACCAAGATTTATGGTGCAATTTCATTCGACCAAAGTTGTTGGTTAAAGGCATACATAGAGAAGAATACCACCGAGCGTGCAAAAGCTCAAAATGATTTTCAAAAGGACTTCTTCAAGTTAATGAACAACGCTATCTATGGTAAAACCATGGAAAACTTACGAAAACGTACACATGTAAAGATAGCCTCAACACCAGAGAAAGCTAAGAAGCTTATCTCATCACCAACATTCAAAGGGAGTAAGAGTCTCTCCAAAGAAGCCATCATGGTTGAGCAGACCAAAGAAGTCCTCTATCTCAACAAACCATCTTACATAGGAATGGTTATCTTAGAGCTAGCCAAACTTGAGATCTACAAGTTCCACTATGATGTTGTAAAACCATTTTATGGTAACAGGGCACAACTCATCCTCACCGACACAGATTCACTCTTATATGAAATACAGACTGAGGATGTTGAAGAGGATTGTGTTGAGATAGGTAAAATTCATGATTGTTGGGATAACTCAAATTATGATATAGATTCCCCATACTTTTTCAACAAAAATAAAAAGGTTCCCGGGAAGATGAAAGATGAAATGGGTGGCCATCAAATCGAGGAAATCTCCGCGAATAAACCAAAATCCTATGCAATCCTCAAGTCGTCAGGTAAAGAAGAGAAGCGACTTAAGGGAATCCCCCGATGTGCCAAGGAAAGGGTCATCAGTTACGCTGACGTTAAGGATTGTATATTCAATGGATCAACCAAACGAATCACCTGTCATACAATCAGAAGTGTTAATCACAACCTCAGAACTATATCTCAAGATAAACTTGCCCTGTCCAACTATGACACCAAAAGATACGTCTTAGATGATGGAATAACTTCCCTCCCATACGGTCATTATAAGATCCCATAAACTGTATAAGTTAAATTATCAATTGAAACTTGTGAGCTAAACTTGTGAGTAAAATTGATCATAACTTACCACCCCACCCTCAGTTAAATTACTAATTAAAACTTGTGAGCTAAACTTGTGAGTAAGACTAGTAATCATAACTTAACACCCCAACCTCCCCCATCCACATCTAAAGTAATATCTACCACCTAACTCAAATCATATATCTCCATAAATCTCAAATCATATCTCTCTATAAAACTCAAGTTGGGGGTTGAATCATATCTCTCCATAAAACTCGAGTTGCAACTTGAATCATATCTCTCCATAAAACTCAAGTTATGGCTTGAATCATATCTCTCCATAAAACTCGAGTTGCAACTCGAATCATATCTCTCCATAAAACTATGAACTAAAACTTAAGATACAACTTGAATAAAAATAATAAATAAAATACCCAATAAAATACCCAATAAAATACCCAATAAAATACCCAATAAAATACCCATATTTATTTTCATATATATTATATAGATAAAATTATAAAATGGCGTTAGCACAAATCTTCAAGTACACACTTATCACCAAACCCACCTCTAAACAGTTCCTCGAAGGTTTCTGTTCAGAGGATAATTGTTATGTATATAAAATCTTGAAAGAGAACCCCAACTACCTGGTAGCAATCGCATGTTCACCAAAAGTAAATGATATATTCCTAGCAAAGGTTACCAAATCATTTAAGAAGCTAGCTGTGTTAGAGGTGGGACCAATCAAGGCTTTTGTATCACGCAAACCAAATGATCCCCCAGTGAAGGAAGGTGATGTAAAAGTTATACAACTAAACAGGGTAATAATCAAATCTTCAAGAGAGCAAGTGATAACAGATGCCCATATAATTGATAGTCCCCAACATGATTATATTAAGGTTCCAGATGATCATTCAATGTTTCCAAAGACACCCTCAATGAAGTTTTTCAACCTCCTAGTCTGAACTATTTTCAGACTCACACTTTGCAATCTTTTTCTCAAGATCTAACTCTTCAAGCCATTTTCTAGACTCATTTCTAAGATAAACCCACCTACTAAAATGTTTACACCAATACGGCTCATACCCAAGTATAGGGTAGACTTTACCAAAGAGTATATCTTCACCTCTAATAATAGATTCCCTACCTCTACCATCATCAGACATGCGCGGTATTCCTAACATGCTGCATACTCTCACAAGTGTGACCTTCAACAGAGGAGGTTTAATCTTCTTATCAGAAAGTACTCTAGAGATGTCCATCATAACCTCAATAATCTTTTCATACTCATCACCATCATAATATCTCCCAATAATACGGATAATCTCAAATTTTCGCCAAGACATTTTATATAATACCAAATGTTTACACTCGACCACATTTTATAAATCCCTTTTCTAACAATTGTTTTTCATCAACCCAGTACCAATCATACCATTCCTCCCAACTCATAAAACGAGGCATAATTGTACTTCCCTCAATCTTATTCTTACTAAGTCCTCTCACAACCTTACACCACCTTCTATAGTACTTACACTCACTCACATACCACCCAAAATGTGGCAACATAATTCCATATAAAAGAAACTCATGTGCCTCACATCTAGGTGAAGGATATACATCTCTCAAGTTATCTAATGGAAGTACATCCAACATACTACACACTCTAACAATAAGAAATCTAAGTCCAGGTGTCATACCCAACTTCTCATCCCTAAACCACTGTTTTATTTCACGTATACGCTCACTCACACGGTTGACATAAATTTTAGGTACATACTTTCTAACCGAGCTTCTAACCCTATATCTATTAACCCGCGGTAACTCTTTATTCAGGACACTAAACTTCCCACTATCAATCACAAATGATTTTTCGCCTATACTCACATCCTGTTTGTAAAATGTATGTTCACCATCAACACTATAACTTTGATAATACATTTTTTCACGCGTGCACGCGTGTAAAATATATTATATAAAATTACTCGTCTAAATTATTGATTGAATCATTATTATAACAACTATTCCCTCACTCTATTTAAATTTAAAAAGAAGATATATTGATTAGAAAGCTTATTTAATTATTATATCTCATTTAAATGAGTATTCTGAGGGAGATTATTAGTTTGAGAATATATTCTAGAAGATTAAAAATGTTTGAGATGTTAAATTAAAGCTATTTTTATCTCTTGTAGATGTGATCTAAACATTTTGCCGTTTGTTATTAGGAAATTATATAATCTCTCCTGGTTATATCCTTCAATTACTTATATAACACCAATTTTATACCTTGTAGAGACTATGTGGTGGTAAATTTATATGTTATAGAGGTGCTCTGAGCAAATTACCGTGTGAGCTGTGTAATCCTAAGTTAACCCTCATTCTAACAATTTTAAGATATTATGAAAGTTAATTTTATTTCTTCTTGAAGGGTACCCTTGTTAAACCTTGATGATAATTATATGGAGGAGATAAATCTAATATTTTTGGTAGTTTGTTCGGGTTTTATTTGGGTGTATAAAAATAAAGACCGTGAGGGTGGGAAGATGTTTGTGGGTTTTTTTACGAAAGAGATGGACTACACCTCATCTTCAGGAATTTGTTGAGGATGATGAAGGTGGAGTTTATGTGGGAAATATTATGAGAGAACGGGATGATGGTCATTTTGTTAGGTTTACTTAAAATCTACTCAGATCTACTTGAGTTTTACTTATGAGGTATCTTAGAGTTTACTTGAGGTTTACTTGGAAGTTACCTAAGGGTTACTAGTGAGATGTCTCAAATTTACTGGTGAGATACCTTAAATCTACTGGTGAGATACCTTGGAAATACTTGTGAGATATCTGGTGAGGTAACTCAAATTTACTGTTGAGGTAACTCAAATTTACTGGTGAGATGACCTAGGTTAACTGGTGAAATACCTTAAGTTTACTGAGATAATCTGGTGAGGTATCTTAATATAAACATAACATTTACCTTTAACTTGAGGTTATGATTGAGGTGCAACTCGAGTTGTGATTTTGGGATAGATGTTGCGGTGCAACTCTAGTTATTATTTGAAGATAGATGATGAAGTTATAATTGAGGTGCGCCTTGAGTTGTGATTCATAGATAGATGGTGCGGTGCAACTCTGAGGTGGATGGTAAGGTACAACTCGAGTTAAAATTTGAGGGTAGATGTTGCGGTTTGTATTAAAAGAATGTGCGGTCTTCTCGCGGTAACAACCACCTTACATTAAACATTTGGTATTATATAGAGAAAAAATGTATTATCAAAGTTATAGTGTTGATGGTGAACATACATTTTACAAACAGGATGTGAGTATAGGCGAAAAATCATTTGTGATTGATAGTGGGAAGTTTAGTGTCCTGAATAAAGAGTTACCGCGGGTTAATAGATATAGGGTTAGAAGCTCGGTTAGAAAGTATGTACCTAAAATTTATGTCAACCGTGTGAGTGAGCGTATACGTGAAATAAAACAGTGGTTTAGGGATGAGAAGTTGGGTATGACACCTGGACTTAGATTTCTTATTGTTAGAGTGTGTAGTATGTTGGATGTACTTCCATTAGATAACTTGAGAGATGTATATCCTTCACCTAGATGTGAGGCACATGAGTTTCTTTTATATGGAATTATGTTGCCACATTTTGGGTGGTATGTGAGTGAGTGTAAGTACTATAGAAGGTGGTGTAAGGTTGTGAGAGGACTTAGTAAGAATAAGATTGAGGGAAGTACAATTATGCCTCGTTTTATGAGTTGGGAGGAATGGTATGATTGGTACTGGGTTGATGAAAAACAATTGTTAGAAAAGGGATTTATAAAATGTGGTCGAGTGTAAACATTTGGTATTATATAAAATGTCTTGGCGAAAATTTGAGATTATCCGTATTATTGGGAGATATTATGATGGTGATGAGTATGAAAAGATTATTGAGGTTATGATGGACATCTCTAGAGTACTTTCTGATAAGAAGATTAAACCTCCTCTGTTGAAGGTCACACTTGTGAGAGTATGCAGCATGTTAGGAATACCGCGCATGTCTGATGATGGTAGAGGTAGGGAATCTATTATTAGAGGTGAAGATATACTCTTTGGTAAAGTCTACCCTATACTTGGGTATGAGCCGTATTGGTGTAAACATTTTAGTAGGTGGGTTTATCTTAGAAATGAGTCTAGAAAATGGCTTGAAGAGTTAGATCTTGAGAAAAAGATTGCAAAGTGTGAGTCTGAAAATAGTTCAGACTAGGAGGTTGAAAAACTTCATTGAGGGTGTCTTTGGAAACATTGAATAATCATCTGGAACCTTAATATAATCATGTTGGGGACTATCAATTATATGGGCATCTGTTATCACTTGCTCTCTTGAAGATTTGATTATTACCCTGTTTAGTTGTATAACTTTTACATCACCTTCCTTCACTGGGGGATCATTTGGTTTGCGTGATACAAAAGCCTTGATTG